CTATCTTAGTTATGAATTTATAGTTTAATTTTAATTAATTTCCTATATAATTACACTTAGTTAGGAATTTAGATTTTAATTTTAATTAATTTTTTATGTAATTGCACTTAGTTAAGGATTTAGACTTTAATTTTAATTAATTTCTTTCGAAATTATAATTTTAAATTAAGAGATTTTTATTACCTTTTTTATTCACATGACCTACCTTACAAATAAGTCATCAAGTCTTTATTGTAAGACTTCAGAAATTATCTCAATAATATCAAGAGTGTTCCTTTTCAATAAAGGTTTTTCTACCATCTTGTTCAGTAAGGAGTTGATCTACTTATCAAGGTACGACCTTGTCTTATTTTTCTATTCTATTTCTTTCATTTTCAGTGACCTTAATTCTTATCATTCTTGATAGTGGGTTAAGTAAAGATGATTTCTATAGAATCAATTTATTTGATACTTTTAAATGAAATTGTGTGAGTTTTTTATCTAAGGTTCCGCATTAATGCTGCTCGACTGAAATCATCTACCCAGTCAAAAAGTAATGAGATCTAGAATAAGATTTTGTTTTATATGGGACCTAAATATCATAATGGACTAAATAAAAAAATCCATGGTCTCAATCATACTAACAGAAAAAGATAATTGAGTCTCTTTTGCTCTATAACAAGCATCACAAACCAAATTCTTCTTGAAATTAAATGAAATAGATAAATTCAGAACTATATGAATGTGATTTATTTGCAATTCACTTCAATTATATCAATAGCAATAAAGGCCTTCTCCCATCTCATCAACTCCAGATAATAGAAACCATTTTGCTGTTTATCCGGTAGAAAGATCACCAATCAATTTAAATATTTTGTTAATATGCTAAAAGATAGTAAATTGAAATAAAAATTAGGAATTCCCAGAACTTGTTCAAGTATCAGTTTGTTTCCAAGGTCTATTTGACCCATAACATGAACTTTAATTGTTACACCATTGGGAATTTACACTAGTGGCATATTGGGTTAAAGAATAGGTTTGGATAAAGATTTAATGTCATAAGTCATGTGGTTTGTAGCTTATATATCCACGACCCACTCATCACTCTCCTTACCTGAAAAATTGGAGGGTGTCATATTCGTAAATGGATTACCTTTCATTATTTTCAGACCTTTAAAACAACTAACAACTACTG